TACACACAAGCTGCTCTGGTGTAAAGATAGTGGAGCCAGAAAAAGAGGCGCGAAAGTGACACTCTGGACACAAAGCCCGTGGGCACTTGCACACCATGTCACTTCCTTCGTCAGTGGCCTTGGAGCCAGAACACGTGCATACGTTGGCTGTAAAAATCCAACAGTTGACTACCAGATCTTGTATAGTGGAAAAATTAATACATTTGAAGACTTTGAAATATGAAGGCCAAGTCATTACCCTGTTGGTTTTGGTGCCCCTGAACATTTCTTGCATGTGGTTAATGGTGTGTGTTCACATTTCTCTTCGTCTCTCTGTCTCTTTTGTCCCAGGATACGATGCCTGAAGTAAGACAGAGTTCGTTTGCTCTACTGGGCGACTTGACCAAGGCTTGCTTCCCTCATGTCAAACCGTGTATTGGTAAGTATCTCACTCCCTCTCTTATACACATTAACACACAGTGCATACATAATGTTCCATCATCCTCTTTTTTTTTTTTTTTTTAATTTGTTTGTGATGCTAACATTTCTTTTTTTTGTGTGTGCGTGTCGTGCAGCTGAATTCATGCCAATCCTCGGGACAAATCTGAACCCTGAGTTCATCTCTGTCTGCAACAATGCTACCTGGGCCATAGGAGAGATCTGTATGCAGATGGGTGAGTGGGAGCAAATCTATTCTTACTCGATGCAGCTAAGTGCTTGTGCAGTTGAACATGAGACGATTAGAGGAAGTGTATCGATGTGTGTTTGTGTCTATCAGGAGTGGAGATGCAGCCGTACATCGCTATGGTTCTGAACCAGCTGGTTGAGATTATTAATCGACCCAACACCCCCAAGACCCTGCTGGAGAACACTGGTACATGGATACACAGACATTTTTGATACTTTTATTTTATAGTTAGGACTGATAGTGCAGTTAATGTCATACCACGCGCTCGCTATTCTAACAGTAGTCCCGACTCTTCTCTCTCCTCCTCTAGCAATCACCATTGGTCGGCTGGGCTATGTGTGTCCTCAGGAGGTCGCGCCCATGCTGCCACAGTTCATTCGACCCTGGTGAGTGAATGTTAAATCTCTTGTTCTGCATCTTTCATTCTAAATACTTTGTGGTGTAATTGTAATTCACAGCATGTGCACAGACACACTCAGCATGGCAGTCGCCATATATCACACACTCAGCAGACACATGTGCTCTCTCCCTGTTGTCCTCTGTGGTCTCATCACATTCTCTCTTCTCTTCCGTCTTTCCATTCTGCACATAATTATATTAGCTTATCCGCACTTGCAGGACACATTTGTGGCAGTTTTTTTTATCCCCATCAGACAATGCACATTCATATTTGTTCTTACTTTTCTCATTTTCCCTCCTTGCTCTTTTGTGCCATCACATTGCGATGCACGTTGCATTACAAGGGCTGCAGTATTGACATTCTTTAAATGAATTCTTGAAATGATCAGATTCAGCAAGCAGCGAGAATGAAACCCTGTGAGTTTTCTCAAGCTAAGAAAAAAGACAAATGTCCTCCCACGCAGTAAAATGACGAGACACTGGCTGTTTTAGTTTGTGCTCGCTTGTTTTCATTTCAGAAATGATCTCACAGACAAGATGAGAGAAATGGATTCTTTGTAGTGACAGCTTTCAGTTTTGTGGCTGCTGATTGTTGATAATTGCATGCTCCAGGTGTACGTCTCTGCGAAACATCCGAGACAACGAGGAGAAAGACTCTGCCTTCCGTGGGATTTGCATGATGATCGGTGTGAACCCAGGGGGTGTGGTGCAGGTGAGATATTGTACACAGTCTGTATTTGACTGGCAGCTGTTTTAGGGCTTGATGTTGAAACCTTCGTCACCTCTTCCTCTGTGCTTGTTTAGGACTTCATCTTCTTCTGTGATGCAGTGGCCTCCTGGGTGAATCCTAAAGACGATTTGAGAGACATGTTCTACAAGGTGAGCGACTCACTGGGTGTGTTGATCAGATCAGGAGGTAGAAAGAAGGTTCAGGTCATATCCAGGCGAAAGTTCTTGTTTTGCCATAACCAGGAAAGCTGATTTTAATTCACCATGACATCATCAACCCCCCCCCACCGCTGCGTGAGTCACTGTGATGTGAGAGACCTTAGGCGAAGCAGAGTGTATTCATCTCAGCAACAAGAACATTGCTCTTATTCTGCAGAAAAATGAACAGACTCCCCCTCAGGAGCTCACCACATAAAGGCCCAAATGCTCTTCCTGCAAATTTTCTGCAAAATCCACAAATGCATGTTTTTACTTTAATCAGGAATGTCTGTGATGCTCCTATGATATTTCTTTGGAACATTTAACCACAGTTTCGATCGCACGTAGTGACCCGAGTTAACCTCGTGATCAAGCCTGTTCTGCATCACTACCATTACACAGTTCGGTCTGAACTGACAGTGACTTTGACCTAATAACAAAAATGTACTGTACAAACTTGCTCTTCCCCCGCTGCTCTGTGATGAGGCCGGCCCTGGCATGGTTGGAGCAACTTGGCAGCTGTTTGGCTGCTTCTTGACACCATCAGCATTTTGAAACAACACCTTTTTTTTTTTTTTTTTTGCAACAACATGCTGTGAGTGTGTGACTGCCAATCTAACAATAGGTACACTGGGAAAATATGTATGATGCATAGCAAATTCACTGACTTGCAGTCCATGGCTGGATTAACCTGTCAGGTGGTCCAGGGCAAACACTGTCAGATGGGGCCCGAATGACCCCCACCTCTGGCTCTGTGTGCTTTGTGTACCTGTTTCTGTCAAGTAAGGTGCTCACAGAAGCCTGTGCAGCACAGCTTCATTATAATTCCAGACACCCACCAGTGCTCCTGTGCCTGCATAGATTATTGCAGTTTCATCTAACTCTGATTTATTAAAGCTGCACAAATCTGTTTTTATAAATAATGGGTAAATAACTTGAGTTAGAGGGTCAACCTGACAGGGAGAGATAATATGTCAGTGTTTTTTAAAAGATTTATAAATGCTGCTTTACAGAGTGTGTGCCATGGTGTGCAATATAAACTAAAATGACTGAGGTCTCGATATTGAGACAGACACTGTCTACATAACAGGGCCACAAACGTAGCTATTAATATATAGATGATACATTTCAGTAGTTGAAATTTAATAACAAAGTTGCAAGTAGTCAAATAAACAAAAAACAACTGATTCGCAGTAAACTTTGGGGCTATTAGAGGATCCTGGGGCTCTGGTGCTTGTGCCCAGTTGGTAATTCAGCCTTGTTGCAATCAATCAAACATTCAGACGCCAGACTCTGTTGCTTTTACGAGGCCTGGCCCCCTAGAGAACCAGGGATTGTTTTTTGTTGCATTGGTACCACCAAGAGGAACGCTGACATGACATAAGCTGACTATCAAAGATTCTTATATTTCACTTTGACCAGTGAAAAGTCATTACATTTCCCCCATCACATTTATGCTCATCAAAGCCTGGACTTCACTGTCGGTTCATCCGTTAGGAGCTGTTGTTTGTGTTTCATGTTGCCTGTTGTTTACACAGCTGGCTGTTTTTTAAAGATAGGGGTCGCTAGTGCTGCATTGCCTCCTGCGTTCAGCTAATCAATGTACACCTGCGTCACTCAGGGTTCATCTTGCTCTGGGAGAGTACTTACTCTGAAATAGGAGCTAAAACGTCCCTCAAAATGGCATTCTAAGAACTTCGATTGTTCCTAGATCTTGAGGTGAGGACACAGTAAAAAGGGGAATTCTTTGTAGGGTTGGGCACCGTTCACATTTGAACCAATACCGGTACCTGGAATTCGGTACTGATACCCAACGGTCCCTTTTTTTCTGTACTTTACTTTGACTGTAATAACAAAAATGTGATTGTAGGATACTACAAAAAGTACAATGCAAGAAAAAGAAATAAGACCAGATGCTGAAATTAACATGGTAGATCAGTGCTGCAGCAACCGTTCTGGCTCGTTGGGAAGCCGGCAGAGCAGCTTACTGGCTTCATTGTGCTTCTCCCTCCTGTCTGAAGTTGAATCTGTAGGCTCTGCAAAGCTCTGATGCCGACCTTAGAGCTTCGTGACTAGCTTCCAGGCTTCGTGGCACTTCCGCCTTTTGCCTTAACCCAGGGTTCTCACTCAGATGTGCTCTCAGGTACCGATATTCGGCACAGATGGATTTAAAGTGAATTGGTTCTTGGTAGTACCAATGTAATTTGGTCGGTACTCTTAAAAGTACAGAGTTGGGTGTTCTTAGGACTATGAAAAAGGTCCTGAGGTCCCGGTCTGAATATGCCTGTAGTTAAAGGAAGAACTTATCAAATCCTGGCCCTGCCTGTGAGAGTGTATGGTCTTGAGGATGTGCCTGAAATGAATCCCCCACATTCTGTCCGTTTCCAGATCCTGCACGGTTTTAAGGAGCAGGTTGGGGAGGAGAACTGGCAGCAGTTTTCAGAGCAGTTTCCCCCACTGCTGAAGGAGAGACTGGCAGCCTGCTACGGCGTTTAGATTCTCTACACCCACCCAACAGGTAACCCCACACACATCATCATTTAAACTCCAAGGTATCCAAATGTCCATCTTGAAATTAACGTCATTGTGTCTGCTCTCCCTTTTATCCGTCCTCCCAGGTGAGCCAGCAGGAGGAGGGTGAATGGGAAACTCATCCATCTGTGTATTGCACTGCCCTGATCTGGGGGGAGGGAGAGGGACGCTATTGGCCGCTCCCCCTGACGGACGGCCCCCACGCCCTATGTGTTTGTCCATAGAGGGAGGGTGGGCGGGTGGGAGGGTGGGACAGAGGGACACCTCTAGATTAACTAGGCAGGGACCCGACACAGAAAAACTAACTGGTAGGGACAGATAGAGAGGGACAGAGAGAAGGACATGGAGGAGAGACAGAGGGGATAGACAAGTTGGGACGGAGGGAGACCAGCAAGAGAGAAAGTTCAGGGAAAGAGAGGGAGGGATATCAGTAACAAAGCAGGGAAAAGAGCCACAGAAAGGTCTGTTACTGGGAGGACAGGGAAAGTAGAGATTTTTAACGGGATTCTTAAACTCATGATAGCTTGACCGACAGAGACAGACCAACACAGACTCACACACATACACTTGCACACGCTGCACACGCAGTACATGGAACTGACTGTGGGCGGCACTATTATTTAGACTTTTTTGAGACCTACTACATGTAGTTAGGGACAGACAGACAGGGGTCTAAACTCTGTTCATTTTCTGGGTGATACTCTTTCTTTTCCGGGGGAATAGGATTCAATAAGAATTACTTCATCTGTAGTCACTGAATTCTACTTAGCTGTAAGATAATCTTGCTATCCGCATCTGTGTTTCCTATCCTTTTTCTTTCATTTCGAACCAGAGTGCTGCTTCACAGAGCTATCCATCTATCAGACATATTCCTGTCACATTTTCTACCTGATCAAAACAGAGAGAGAAATAAGAGCAAGTGTCTTTCCTCGTGGCTTCACAGAAACCATTCCTCTAGGAGGGGAGGATTAGGGCTAACACATTTGTTTTCTCACCAGAGGGGAGAAAATCGTAGAAAGAAAAAAAAATCACATCCTTAGTTGTCCTCTTTGAGGTTTTGTGTGTGTGTGTGTGTGTGTGTGTGTGTGTGTGTGTGTGTGTGTGTATGTATGTAAATGTGTGCGAGTGTGTGCATGTGCAGTTTATAAATCCTCACTTTGGCATTCTGTGTTAACAGTGTGTGAAATATGTATTGTTTTTGATATGGTACCGAGCTAAAACTTGACTCCCACCGCAATGTCCTTGGCACCTGTTAACTGTGACCAAGTGTTTGTGTTTGTGTGTGTGTATGTGTGTGTTGCAAAAGAGTGAGCGTGTGTATATGTTTATGTCTACATTCGTACTGATATCCATTTGATGCCATATTGATATCTTAAGTAAAACAGTGATTGGCAATGTCATTGTGATCTTTATAATGTTTTAAAAATGGTCCATATTCTTTTTTTTTTTGTTGTTGTTTTTTTTTTGTTTTGTTTTGCTGCTACTGATAATTTTTGTTTCTATAGTGGATTTAAATTCGCACAATAACGCAAAAATATTTGAATTAATGCTATTTTCAGTGACTGTTGTTTTTGCACTTTTTATTTTATTTTATTTTACCTTTTTTCTTTTTTTTTGTATGGACTTTTTTTTTTTTTAACCTCACCCATATGATATGTCTTGACCCTAATGTCAGTGTTTGTCATACTGTGTTGCACTGTGAAATTAAGTGTCTTTGACTGGCAAAAATATTCCAATACTAAATGGCAAATAAAAACAACTTTGTGAAACTGGGACTAATCCGCACTTTTACAATGACTAACTTTGCCATATTGCTGAGGTGTGTGTGTACGTGTGTGAGATCCCGCATGTGTGTGTGAGATCCTGCATGAGTAGGTGCGCATGAGAACCCTTTATATTTTTTGGCGTATGAGCATGTGATAGCTAGATGGCGTTCATATGATGTGTGCACAGTAAAGGGGTGCAAACCAAGTGTTGTTTGGAAGGGTGTGTAGCCTGCCCCCCCAGCCTACTTTGTGTGCATGCTTTGTGTCTGCGTTTTCACTGCGTGTGTGCGCGCGAATGTTTGTATGTGTGTGTTGACGTATATTTTGGAGTAATATGATTGCCCTTTACACACCAACACACCACCTCAATTCACGAGAGGAGAGCACAATATACTTCAAAAAGAGAAGAGCTAGGACACTGCCAAAGAGCAATAGCCACTGAAATTTAAAGAACAAAGTAGATAAGCACTGCTATTTCAATATTCAATACATGCGTAATGATATAAAAGTACAGGCAATGAAGGGCTTTTCAAATTAATAACGGAATAAGATTTTGCCAGCAAAATTGACTACAGGGATCTCTATTTTTTTCATTGACATTCTGTGTTTTCCAGCGTGCAGACATTTGGAAACAGTCAGACGTTGGCACTTGATTTGACCTCGACTGTGACCACTGAGATAATCAAATCAATCATTAATCACGTCAAACACAAGACAATCTGAACCCCAGTCTAGTTCTATTTCCACAGTCTCCTAGTTCGAAGCTTGTACGAGAAAAATGTATTTGGTTGCTCGTTAATTTCAGTGTTTGTTTTTTTTTTAATTATTTGTGTAACTGATGCTTTTAGTTTCACAGACAGTGTTTGTATCTGACAGATCAGTGTACATTTTTCTTTGGATGATACTGTAGTCGCCTGCTTCAGTGACAGATTTATGAATGCAACCAGTTTGAAGGAGAGGAGTGGTGTGACAGCTTTTTGAATACGTGCAAGACGATGGGAACAAAGGAGGCATGAAAGGAGATGAAGGAGGAATGATTTTTTTTTTTTCTAAATTCTGTTTATATAATAACGAGCATGATAATGTTGCAGTTCGGCTGACAGACTTTGGTACCTTTTGTTTTCCTGTGGGCTACTTTCGCCAGTCATGTTCCCTTTTTTTGAAGGTGGGAATGGAAATAAAATGCTTTCTTTTATATGATTTATAGTTTATGTGTGTAAAATCTCTGGATTTTTGAAATAAATCATGTCGTGCATGCTGAAGGCCGGATGATAGCGTTGCAAGTCTGGAGTTTTTTTTTGTGAGAAAAAGCAATTTTATGCAATTTTGAGCAAGGCCTCAGTTAAAGGAACAGTGTGTTAGTGGCACCTAGTGGTGAGGACTGCAGATTGCAACCAGCTGAATCTTCTCCGCTATGCCAAGCGTCAACTCCCAGTTAGGATTCCTTTAGTGATCATTGTTCAGGAGGTTTTTCCAGGAGCCAAATTACTTGCAGAGGTCTCTTCCTCTCAAAAAAGTGGACCCTGTGATTAAAACTGGTAAAACGTCTGAATGAAGCTGTTTCATGTCACAAATAAGTGTTTCTCTGATGCCGTTGGCACATTGCAGACAGGTTGCTAGCCCAGCACCCGCCAATATGGGCTCATCTTTTTTCTCTGATAACTTAAGTTTCAAGGCACCATTGTTTAGAAGTAATCTGATTGGATGTCAGATATCAGACAAATCTTGAAAATGGGTTGTTCAAAAAGAAAAATGTGATCACATAATCCATTCTTCGTTTTGCTCTGGACTAAACCTTAAGCATGCGTTATTCGAAACTCTTTGGTAAGATCAGGAAACCTCTGTTCCAAAAAAAACACGATTATCATGATTATTTAACTGTTACATCAATAAAGTAGATAGCAGATTATCCATAAAGCCTTTCAGTACAGTAAAATTATAAAAAAGGATGCTGTCCCCCAAAAATAATCCCCTAAATGGCTTTCAAAACCAAACATTTTTTTAAAGTTATAACCTCAAAGATCTCTGTTTTCTTCTCTTTGGCAGCACCTATGGCGCTAAGTGGTAACTGCAGTGTGTTTGTTGGCAGGCTGTCTACATTGTGATGTGCAGTCCCACATAGAGGCCTGGTTATCTGGATTTGGTAATCTTGAGAAGTTTGTATCTGGATCACTGTGCTCTAATCTCATGTTAATTTAAAAATCTACTACAACAGTAAGATGTATTGACTGATCCTGGATAGCAAAACATGGGATTTCCAAAACTTATTTTGATCCAGATTTTTGATACACAAATAAAATAAAAATCTCCACGAGGAACCAACTTTACTCCACACAGACACACATTACACATATTTGATATTCCAGTGGTTTCCACTCTGTATTGAGTTGAGTTTTGTGTGTGTGAGATGAGACACTGAAACTCTCCACAGATGCTCAGCAGCAACTGAATCATCACCTCCATGTACATGCATACTGCATGATGTAACTTTGTGTTTTCTCCCTAAAACCTGAGCTGCCAGTTGCAGCAGTTCCAGTTATGGGATATTACTGGAAATATGCTTGAGTCCAGAATGTGGTTAAAGGACAAGGACCGCACACAGACTTGTTTGTTTCATCAGTCTCTTTCTCTTTATTTTAACAGCACAGTGCTGTACTACAGATGCCTCCATGTAACGAGCCAAGCAAAATGCTCATTGCAAATGCTTTTTGTACTTTTCCAAACATTTTCAATCATAAAGCATTCTAAAGGATAATCACATCGTTGCTGATTAAGTCATCATCTGCACCACCTGCACTGCCATCTGTGTCTGCTTTACATATTATGGCACCATCTTGTGGTCAAATTGAAATAAGATCAAATCCAAATACATCAGCCCAGCTAAAAGATAAACCAAAACTCAAAGTCCAGTATAATTTCAAAATGAATTGTATAAAAATAAATAAAGACAATTAGTTTAACTTCTAAGGATCTGTGTCCAGGGTATGCCCCCATTGTTACAATGGCTGCCCTCCCTCTGGCAAAAATAATTGAAGGCTGATATTACTATCTTTAAGAGGCTGTGGCACACTCACTTTAAGCTAGCATGAAGATAGTGGTATCTTGTGAAACTAGGCAACCTAAGGCATCCATTAGTACAAACCCTGCGAGCATAGCTTGTCAGGAAGGGTGCTAAATAAAACTCCAAATTTAGGCTAAATTTTGGTGAGGGGACAAACAGCATGGCCATTTTCAAAGGGGTCCCTTGAACTCTCTCCTCAAGATGTTTGAATGAAAATGGGTCCTATGGGTACCCACAGGTCTCCCCTAAACTTAAGATGACTTGTTCCCAGTAAATGTTTTGTTACTTACAATCAATGTGCTCCTTCAAATTAAAAATGAAATTATAGTTGTCTTGTTAAGTAAAACAGCAACCAACCTATTTGATGAACCATGAATCATCTAAACATATATAGGTATATAACATTAAAACAGGATTGTTGTGGAACTCAAAATTTTAACTGTACTGGTATTAGTCTATGTACAACAGATAATTAGTAATATTAACCGTAAAATAAGAAACCAAGTTATATCAGTATGTAATTCCCTAACTCTCTATATAGTTTTTAACTAGCCTGTATACTTCAACAGCATAACAGAATCCCTGAAATGTACTTATGCCCTTTGGTTTTGGTGTGCAACCCCAAGATTTTCACTGATTGTCACTCCACCTGGCACTTCTATGAAAAAAAAGGAAAGCAGTGATATATGCTTAAAAAAACATTGGCACAGGTTTTTATCATTGGAGACAGCTCTGGATGAGTAAAGAAATGATGTTTGATTTTTAACGTTTCTTTTACTTAAAGGTCCTGTGTGTAGGATTCATCAACCTCTGTTGGCAGTAAAGGTATATAATAATCATAACTATGTTTTCATTAGTTAACATTCACCTGAAAATAAGAATCATTGTGTTTTTGTTACCTTAGAACGAGCTGTTTATATCTACATATGGAGCGGCTCCTCTTACACTGAGTACACCATGTTGTTTTTACAGTCTCCCAGAGTGCACAAATCAAAGTTTGGCTCTAGACAGGGCCATTCATGTTTTCCTGTCAGCTACCTTAATTTTTATATTCACTTGGCACACTGGAGAAGTTTTAGTTGGTTGCAGTGTTGCAACTTCACCACTAGATGCCAGTAAACCCTCCATACTAGACCTTTAAATCAAGAGCTTGAACCTATGACAGACTAAATCTGGATATCTGTGATCATCTGAATCAAAATTGTTACCACCTCATAATACTCACACACAGAGGTATTCTGTTGTTCATACAGCAGCTCTACAATCTGAGAAACTATCCAGTGGAAGCTTTTTGTATCTGCACCAAAGGTATTTGCTGTTTTGCGTGCATTATGGCCATCTCTCCAGGAACAGGGATTTGTTGTCGGCCATGTCTCCACAGCTACTCTGAGACCACATACACAATGTGAATAAGCTGTAGGTCTGTCAGAAATCTCACACAAACCACAGATTTGATTCATCTCCAGCGCCATAATTACAGGTTTCTATTACAGTGCATCTTTTCATCCCTGTCATGACATTAGGCCACTTGTGAATACCTCAAGGCTCAGGGTGGAGCTGGGGCAGTGTGAGCTCAGGAAAATCCCTAAGTTGAGACCTCCTCACCATCTCCACCCCAATATATCACTATATCACTCCTGTATTCAGATATCGCTATAAAGCACACACCATCACATGCAGTATAGAAGGTGAGTTTTTGGTCACTATTTGAGACAAAAATGTGGTGCATCTGATACAGTCATGTTTTGACATCAGATATTGTTTAGAGAGATAAAAAAAATCAGGGCACAGGAGATGAAGATAACATCTATATGCCTTTATTGTGCACGTCCCTGTTTTATAGCTGCTGTATAAACTGATATGAACAGGCCTCTCTTGTTCTGCACCCATGTTGAGCCTTTTGTTTACATCTCAATGGATGCTGGCTATTGTTGATGTCGGAGAAAGGGAGTAACTTCCTGAACGGCCCTCCTTGTGGCCAAAGACAGCTATATGATCTGATATAAATCAGTGTCCATCATTAGAACATTTTCAGGTCACTTGCAAACAGAAAAACAGAAGCACACAGCATGTTAACCAGAATGAAAGAGCACCATGTCATGAAAACGTAATAATCATTCATGATAGCTAGCAGGTTGTTAGCTGGTGCTGTTAGCTGTTAATGTCACAGACAGGAGTGCTTTGTTACTTGCTAAGTTGAGGTAGCTGAAGATCATTGTTAGGTGTGTTGCTTGGTGGGTTGCAGTGGTAGAAGAAGCATTTTCTAATCTTATCTTATCTTATCTTATCTTATCTTACTTTTTACGTAGGTAAAAGTTGGAGTACCACACTGTAAAATTACCCTGTTACACATCAACATTCACATTCAACCTATGTAAAATTTCAAGCAACAAAAAGTACTTTAAGAATCAAAAGTAAAAGTGCTCAGAAGCAGCAGATCGGCCCCTGACACCTTACTTATGGTCATGAGCTCTGGGTAGTGACTGAAAGAATGAAGTTGCAGATACAAGTGGCCAAAAGGAGTTTCCTCCATGGGGTGGCTGAGCTTGGCTTTAGAGATAGGGCAAGGAGTTTGGACATCCGGAGGGAGCTTGGAGTAGAACTGCTGCTCCTTCAGGTTGAAAGGGGTCAGTTGAGGTGGTATGGGCATCTGATCAGGATGCCACCTGAACGCCTCCTGTTAGAGATGGTAGGAGGCCCCTGAGCAGACCCAGAGCACGCTGGAGGGATTGCATATCTTGACTGGCCTGGGAACGCCTTGGAGTCCCCTAGGAGGAGCTGGAACGCGTTGATGGGGAGAAGGATGTCAGGAATGCATTGCTCGGCCTGCTGCCCCCGCAACCTGGCTTTGGATAAGAAAATGGATGGATGGATGGATGGATGAGACAGTTCCACCCAAAATCCCTAATACATATTTTCCTCTTACTTGAAGTGTTATTTATCAAGCCAGAGCAGGGGTGTCCAAACTTTTTTTGAATGGGGGCCAAATGAAGTAATATAGAAATACCTGGGGGCCAGCTGCTTCTCGTATCATATGAGTCATAAAAAAAAACACACAAAAAATGAGACAAATGCAACTGTATCATCTTTCAGTGAAAAATGATTAAACTTTCCACTGCTCCTGAAAGCAGTGGCCCTTATTGTTGACTTTATGCTTCTTTGCTGTAGCCATGTCTGCTACCTAACAGGAAATGTCTGTCAGGTAAGCCTTTGTTTGCTTGTTTACCGTCTGTCTAGGAAAGCACATTAGTTCCACCGGCGTAGTTCCTACTGCAAACTATATGACAGTCCTGCCATCATGAGGTGAATGGAAAAAATGCAGTGACCTTGCTTGTTTAACTAATATGGTGTGGTGGGCCAAATAAGGTATATTTTGAACAAGTCGACAAGATTTTGGACGTGCCTGAGCTCTTGGAGATATCAGCCGTAGAGATGTCTGCCTTCTCTTGAACATAAAGGAACTACATGGGACCTGGCTTGTGATGCTCAAAGAACAAAAACATAAATTTGAAACACACAACAGCAATGTCTCTTTCCAGATGGCATGACCCAATTTTTCAAGATAATCCACAGACCTCGTTGTGAGCAGTTTCATGAAGGAACTATTTTCTTTCTGCCAAACTACATCCGCCGACTGTATCACCATGAAGAAGGAAGCTTACGCAGGACTTCATATTGAAACCATGGTCATTTGGTCCCGGCTGCCTATCAAGCAAGTAGGGTTAGCCAACGTAGTTTAGCCTACTATGACAGGCTACAATGTGGATACAAGGCCGGGTCAAGGACCTCATGATAGGCCAAAAGATTGCTCACCCAACAACACATTTCACGATATACTGATAACCGACATCCAACAGTGGTATTTACACATGTTCTGAAAGTTTATTTCACATTGTGAGAAGATTCAGCTCAGCACATTTGAGAGAAAAATCCTCAAAAAGCTACAACAAGAGATCAGAGGGCCTACAGTTTTTTTCCTATACCATCTGTCTTTAAAACGTTTCCCCTTTGCAGAAATTACTCTAACATTGAAGAGAAGCACTGAGGTGATCCAACATCAAACATTTCATAACTTAAGCCTGTACCATTTCCTTGTATTTACATTTTAAAGTGACATTCTACATTAAATAAAAGCTAATATGACTACTCCAGTACTCAGCTGTTATTAGCTCATTGTAAAGTGAGAAGAAACCATGACTTCAAAAAATAAAATCTAACAAAGTTACAACAGAAAAGTGTATCTACAGAAAACATGCTGTAATAGACTCATCGTCACTATGGCTCTGAAATGATTAGGATTGGATAAAGAGAAACAATGTGCACTGACCAGGCACCATATGAATGGGTGAGTCTCTTAGTTGATGGTCTGCCAGTCATTAAGTCATTGTTTAATGCAGTGTATTGTAAGATATTTGACACATCCACAGAGCATGTCTTTGTCCTTATAGATACTGTAAAATAAGCATCTAGAGCATACTATCAGACATCTTATAATGTAGCTTTACACAGCACAAAATTTAGGAGTATTACTACCAGTGTTACTACCTTCATCTTTTTCCTTTTCATGACTCTTTCTTTGACTGTGCCTCTGCAAGATCAAGGTACAGTATTTCTATCATTCCTCGTTCTATGCCGTTCTTCTCCTTGTGTTCTGGGATCAGAAGTTGCTGAAGATCTCTTGTTTCTTATTCCAGTCCATAGCAGGTGCTCTCTTCCTGTTGCGGCCAGCGAGGGCCTTTTGTCTAGCCTCGGCAGCTGTGGGGCTTAGACGCAGGCCACTTTCCACAAAAGGGTCCGAAACACGCCTGTCGTCCTCATCAGGAACCTGCAATGCCCACAAATGTACATGTGTTACGCACACACTCACTGAGGTCTTACTTTTTTGACTGCTTTGTTTCTCCTACGCCTCTTCTCTCACCTGAATGCTCATGTCCGAGCTGCTGATCTCTGATTGGGTGGTGGAACTTCTTGAGGACTGAGACGCTGAGCTCCCATTGGTGCGGGACTTTGGGGATGAATTTGTGATCGGGGAGTCTGTCAGTGTGACGTTTATGACTGGTGGATCTGTAGGGGGGAGTTCAGTGGTCGGAGAGGGGGTGGGTGGGATGCTATCTGGGGGTGATTCATCCAGGTAGACCTCTGTGGAAGAGTAAAGAGAAACATGTAAGATGTTCTGTCTGAAAAGAGAGAGCAGTGTAAGTGTATGTTTATGTGTGCGAGTGTTTGTCTGTGTACAATTTGACCTTTGATATGGCTGGAGGAAGGTCTGACCCCAAGTCTGTGGAAGAGCTCGTCCGTCTCCTGGTCGACCACTAGAAGGCGCACCTCCTCCCCTTCAGCCCTGATGAGTGTCACCACCTCTGAGTGCCTCAGGCCCTCTATGTTTACTCCGTTCACCTGAGCCAGAGAAAAAGGAGACGTCAGAAGAAACAGACACAGTGGAGGGAAGTGAAAATGTAGAAGAGATGCAGAAACAATAACTGAGAGCCCTAATACGACCGACAGGAGACAGGGCAGAGATTAAGAAGTAGCCATAACACAAGCAGAAGGTACAGTATGTCTTGCCTCATGGACCATCAACAGATAGAATCTGTGATTTGAGTAGAAGCTGGTTTATTTGCATGAGTTCCCTTCCTGCTGCCACTCTTCCTCTACATAACATTAACTGTACAACATTCAGATGGAAAAGGAAAAAAAAGTCTAAATCATGCAAGCACACATATTTCTGACAGCATGTGATGCACAGGAGCGTAAATATAAACAGTGCTGGCATATTGGTTGCACTGGGGCCTGCAGGGTTTGTGAGGGGCCCTCTAACAGTAGCTCCTTTTACACTGCATGTTTGAGGCAGGAATATTGCAGCGTTAAACCGCCTTGCCATTCTGTATATAGGGTACGATGGTGGACCAGAATTGTCTCACCTTTCAGCCGGCAGTGGAGGTAGTTACATCACCAAATCTAAGTCTGTGTAAAAGAGACAGCCGACAGGACATGACTGTGCATGGGACAGGTGTGACTTTTTTTGCTGTGTTGTGTGTAGAATTAAAAAGCAGCTAGCAGCAGTTAACAACTGACAGTGACTGAAAATGTCCGCAAATTGGGAAAACAATGAGATTTGGGAGCTCCTTACCATCTGAGCAGAGGACGAGATCAGCCGGCATATAACAGAGACAGTAAATGATTGATACTGCCTTGTTATGCCATTGGTATTGTTTAGAAAGTACTGCCAATGTGTATATGTGCACTACTTATGCATCACACCAGATGCTGATGCTGTTGCGTTAAATGTTATGCCTGTTACATCTCTTTTATTTCTGTGTTACTGTATAAAATCACACACTGGAGCGGCATGATGCTGCTGTTGTTTGGTTCTGTGTAAAAATGCACAGGTGGCATGAGGAGGTACTTCAGCAGCCCTGTAGCACAATCTCTGTGTAAAAAGGGCAAATGTGTCGGGTAGAGAACAGCCCCTTGCAAGTGATACAGAATGCTACCTTGTAAATACACCTGTGTTTTAAGAAGAGCTTTTGCTGCTGTTGTCCAATGTTCAGTTTCTATTTCATCACGCAATGAGACAAGACGATACAAAGTGCTGCAGAGATGATGTATTTCTGTAGGCTGACGTGAGAGTTAGCACCGCCCTGGCTCCCTCATCAAATAGCCAGTGGGATTTTTCAAGCTTTGTTCAGCAAGATAATCTTCATAAATGAACACAACGTTTATGATGTACAGTATATGCAATCGGCAGTAGTAAAAACCTAAATTTAGGCTGTAAACAAAGTACACCACAGTCGCATGACATCAACATCGCCACCCCAACAAGGCCATGAAGCTGTGTTTGGCATGATGGCGTTTTTTAGTCTAATTTAGCCAGTTGTTAGCAATGGCCTTTTTAAAGACACGTTAAGGCTTTAAAATTTAAGTGTGGGGTGTTTACTGATGTGTTTTATTTTATGAGCAAGCAGTCATGTCTTTTGTGTGTGTGTGTGTGTGTGTGTGTGTGTGTGTGTGCTTTAAGACTGGTAACTTAAGTGCACTGGTTCCCTTAATAAGTGCACTGGGGCTCTTTATAACTGTTTTAAACCACTGGTGACGCACATGCAGTCATGCAGTCATGCAGTCATGCAGCCATGCAGTCATGTGTACATGTCCACATGAAAGGACACAAACACACCTCTTCGACACCCCCATTCAAGATTATCCCTGGTCTTCTTTTCTTCCTTTCCCCCTTTAAACATCACCCCTCTCTCCCACCCACTCTAAACCTGAGTCCAGCTAATCTGCTCTAATCCAATCAATGCACAGACCTGATTAATGTGGGGAGTGTTGACATTGTTTTTCCCATCAGTTGCCTAAAATTTACCTCTGACAAGTGCAGTGCATCAAGTCTGCATATGTACTCTGAAAACTGGGGGGTGTCATCCTTTCTGCCTCATTTATTTCAGAGTGTGTGTGTGCTCAGGTCGTACCTCCACTAGTCTGTCTCCAGGCTGGATGCCTGCACTCTCAGCAGCTGAGCCGGGGTCCACTGATCGGACAAACTGTCCGCGCCTTGTCTTATTGCTGTGCAAGTTGAAGCCGTAGCCGTATTCCCCCTTCACCAGGTGACACAGGCGGGGGATGAGCTCAGCTGTCGGCTCTGGTGAGGGCTGCACTTGCAGCTGTGATGGGACATAAATGAGAACTTTAACAATCAGGATATTAGAGAAGAGGGCATTCAAATGTTGTCTGTAATTTAGAGTCAAATATGTTACCAACTTATTAGGTACACCTGTTCAATCGGTAGCAGCAACAGATTTCAATTTATATCATGATATAAAACTAACAAACTTGAGTTTTTTTGAACTGATGTATCCATTACAGTGTCTAACAAATCTGCATTTATGTTTTTTATTAAAAGTTACATTACCAGTGGGTGGTGATGCATTTTAAGTGTAGATTGAGCTGAATTGTATGCACTGCTTTATCCTGCAAAAATAATGTAAACTTGATTTTTTTTTTTTTTTAAATGAATGCAAACTTGATGTTCATTTTGTGGATTACACAACTCAAGCAAGTTTCAAAATCCTCAGATTGTCATATCAGACAGAAATTAATTGCTGCTTGTAATATAATTAAAAATACATGCAGAAATATAAAGTATTAAGTATGCTGTTTAAACTTGCAAAAATACCGCTCTGGTCATTTAAATATATGATCATATTTGAGTCTGTAGATTGTGATGATGATGATGTTGAATGTTATTTCCTCTCACAATAAAAAAATGCATTCTCCTAAAACACCACCGCTAATTATGGCCTCAAAAATGACCATTAATCAGTGAGATTAATCAACATCTTTCTGACGAAGTGTCAACGAACATGAAAATCCTTTGTAACAGTAGGAGATAGTGCAGCATTTCACTAAGCTGTGCAGATTATGCAGGTCAACTTTCAGTGCAGTTAAAAATTCTATCCAGAATAATGATTCCAAGAATACTGTAATCTAACATAAACAAAGCCCAACCACAGGTGTAACTATGAAATTGATACATGTGTGACTGTGCGATGAAGGAGAAAGTGACTGGTAGGATGTGCCGGTGGCCTCGGTGCTTAGCAGAGTGGGCTAAGTGGATCTGGTTGAGAGACATTAAGACTGATCCTGAGCATAATGACCGACGACAAGAGTTGACACACTGCATGACTCACCCGCCGACCGGGCCTACACCTCCACTACTAGGAACATGCTGGCTGTGTGTGCGTGCTCTGTGCCAGGACCGCACTTCAGTCCCCATCCTGAGGGTAGTCTAGGATAGAGACTGTCTAGTGACACTGCCGTGACTGCGCCTTCACGGGTAAACTGACCTGACAGATCTCTGTGTCCTTTCTGCTCCGTCAACAACAGACTCATTGAACTCACGCACACACAGTGTCCACAGGGCTGTGAGTAATGAATGAATAATAATATACAGCAGAGAACATCCCTGTCCGTCAGCCAGAGTGTGAGCCATAGTGATGAAGCAGAACACCTTGGTCACAAATCACCATGGTGACAGGTCAGGTCATTGTGGTGACAGGTCACCATGTCTTCTACTGGTTTTAAAGATCTAAGATTTAATTTGCTGGCCTGTTTACTATATTTGTCCCATCAGCCCAAATCAATTAACTCACACACACACACACACACACACACACACACACACACACACACTGACATAATGCTTTCCCTTGCTCTTTACCATCACTGTAAAGGTGCATTATTATTATAACAAAAAAACAAGTACTAATTAACAGCAATACAAAAATATATAAAATTCTGCTGAAACTGAGACAGCCAGTCAGAGTTACACTGCTGTCTTATCTTCACACATGGTGTCTGCCTATAGTTTATATTACAGCTTGCTTTACTCAGTTTTAATAAGACCATAATAGCAAAAAAATAAATAAATCAGCAAACATCATATATCAACTCCATTTGGAATATTGTTTGGTAGGGGAGACCAGAGTTGGTTGGCTTCAAGGGTTGATGGGCACACAGCTATTTTCTGGTCACAGAAATGTGAATGTAACATCAGAATATGTGGTTTTTGACGTATATTCATGTAATATGTCAAAACATGTGAAAGTCACTAAACTTTTTTGGTGAGGATAACATGGGTTTTATTGTATCAAAAGTGAAAAAAGTCGTCTGTGTCTAAATTAATTACAAATCTGAGTTGCATAAAGATATTACAGATGTGTTACTTCTAGTTAATAGACAAAGAAATCAATTACATTTTGATATACGCTTATTAGAGGGGAGAGTGATGAGTGATGGTAACTGATGAAATTCATTGAAAGGTTGGGTCAAATGTGAGTGGGGTTGGTTGGCACACTGACTTTAGGGTTGTTTTTGGTTGGGACATGTGCCAACCATTGTAAAATTAAGAGCTGTAACTTAAACTGTATTTTGAGAATTTAAACTATCTTTAAGATTAAAAACCATTTTTATATTGTTTGGTTATTATTTTGAATGGTCAGTGACAAACGTAATTAGACATTCCTACTGATAAATTGCTTAAAATGTTTCTGTTCTATTTAAAGTTCATGTTTTCTGGTTCTAAATTAAATTAAATGTTCAGATTGTTTTTTTGGTTGCTTCATTTTTTTTTTTTTTTTGTAACTATGGTATTTTAACATCATGCCAACCAACCCCTGTGATGGTACTGGTTGGCACAAGTGCACAATATGACTTTAATTACAGATCACTCAAGTTTAGAAAACATTTGTATACATTAGAATATATTTGTTAACAGCTGAGACCTTAACCTTTTATTAGTTAGAATATTCTAACATTAATTATGCCAGAGAAAAATGTAAAAAAGGGAAAAGTGTGCCAACCAACCTTGGTCTCTCCCACAGTTGGTGTTGTCATTAGCTGCACCAAAGATTCACTTTATGTTGGACTGAGGGCAGACTGGATGCTAGAGTCAGTACATTTACATGACACTGGAGAAGATCGATTTATTGTGTTAGTCTGACTAAAACTGGACTTTTAAAATGCATGTAAACATGTCAGTCCAACTAAAATTAAACTGAATCAAATTTCTCACTAACACACTATGATAATGGAATTGGAAGTCAAATTACTCCTGCATGTATACCAAACCCAAACTGGCCTAGGCACAGAGCTGTAAAGTAAAGTTGTCCATGATGGTACCAGTTTGCTGCTGACTAACTGTAGCTAACTTGTTTGTTGATTGTCTGGTCTGTGACATAATAGGTCAACTGGAAAAAGGTACAATACAAACAAGCTGCAAGGGGGCATATCGCTACCTATTGTAGTGCAGTCAGATATTCTTTGGTCAGTAAATCCATTCCTGTCCCATGCTTGTATACTGGGACAAGGACAGTAGTCCAATTAAATGGCCTAGTTGAACTATAATGGTAGCTTGACTTAACTGTGCATGTAAATGTACTGAGTGACTTACTATCACCTCTTGAGGTATAAGTAGTATTATATGTCAGGATGGGCCGGGGCTAGCTGGTAATCATGCTCATTTCGGTAGATATCTACGTCGACGTCTTTGACAAAACGTCAAAACTATTACTTCTTCACATTTCTGTTAAACGCAGAGATTCCTTCTCTTGTCTTGCAGCATTTAACAGATGAGTCAAATACCATGAATTTAACAGGAGATTAAAAAAAACTGTGTTTGTTTTTAACTTTTTGAGAGAGTAAAAGTCATTCAGGAAGGTTAGTGAAAGTGTTGCATTTGTGTGTGTGTGAGTGACAGATCCAGGCTGTTGTGTGGCCGTGATAGCAGCCAACACCATGGTTATGTAAGACTACTGTATATGGGTGTCTGCTGCCATAACAACATCATGCCACAATGAAATTGTGTCTGTATTTACGTGTACAATGTGAATGTCACAAGACGAATGACACTGGAGTGAAGAGATGGGAGAGAGAGATAACGTGTGTGTGAGTGTGTGCCTGCTGTGTGTATGCTGACCGAGCGCGTGAAAGGCTTCAATGGCGTCGGCCTGGGATTAATACACCACAATGGTTTCCTGATCTGAGCTGCTGAATTAATGGACAAAAATAATTACTCACTCATTTACATAACACTCAGTGACAATGTCTCAAAGTTGATTTTGGGTATAATTAATGCATTTTAATAGATGAAAAAAAAACCCCTCCCAAATTAATTTCTACTGAGCACTTTAACTCACAGAAAATCAAGGTAAAGTCCAGGTGCTCTTGCAGATTAAAAGTTTGTCACTAAAAGGCTCATTTTTCAAGCAATCTTTGGTAAAGCAAGGAGAAAAGTTCTGTATACAACATTCAGAACATTAATATAGCAGCAAACAACTATTTGTTACGTAAAGACAGTGGGCTAGTGACGTCCTGAGCTAAGGCTGAAGGTACCTCTGTGTCTGTTGTAATCTGAACCTCTCTGTTTGTTGTTGTGATAGAGGGTCTGACTGTGCATGTTAGTGCATGTGTGCCCCTCTGTGTGTATCCCACTGGCTAGCTATTAGCTGCCACTCTGCTCCTCGTCATACAGTGGTTACCGCTGATGTTGGGATGGGTCGTTGCAGAAGCATTTATAGCACCCAACTTCCAGTACATGGTGGCTGCATGGTTGAGTATGGGCATCAAAACTACTTGGTTAGGTTTAGAAAAAGATTGTGGATCCCTTTAAAATATCTATATTTGTTGGGGGGCGCAAGTATGCAGTAAATTATGTAACTACGTCATGCAATGTGACATAACTACGTAAAGGATTCAAGTAAAGTTAAAAGGAATTAATGTTGACTTTTAACTTCACATGGGACAAAAACAGCGCTCTCCTGGGTTAAAGTCCTGTTTGTTGACCTATCCACAACTTTAACCTCCTTCTACATGGGCTGTCTTGCTCTTTATATTACCTATAGGGCCGTAACATTAACCAGTTGATTAATTTGTGTGTCCACACTAACAAAAGATTGTGATTTACTTTCCATTGTCACTGTTTCCATGGTGTCAGCACAGGTAGCTGTGGCTCAGAAGGTAGAGTGGGTCGTCCACCAACTGGAAGATCAGTGGTTTGAGTGTACATGCCAGAGCATCCTTGAGCAAGATACTGAACCCCAAATTGCTCCTGATGACTGTTTAATCAGAGTGTGTTAAAAACTGAGTAGCAGGTAGCACCTTGTATGGTTGCCTCAGCCACCAGTGTATGAATGGATGTGTGAATGGGTGAATGTGGCTCTTGTGTAAAAGCGCTATGAGTGGTCAGTCCATTTACCATCCAATTTTAAAACCATCACCATGCAATGTGGTGTTAAGAAGTTATTGTCATTTCACATATATCTGAGAGACCAGGTTGTGTTGTTTGCTCTGTCAGCACTGTTGCTGTTGTTAGCACTGTTTACACTGTTAGCACCATTAGCTGCTAGCCACTGGCTGAGCAACCTCCATGTAGAGAGCCATGTGCAGACATCCTCTGAATCATCATACAGAGCTCCTTCAAAAGCCTTTAGTTTGTCAGGTATATTAATGGTTAAAAGCTCAGACAGTTTGTGTCCTCAACAGGGCTTCATAACAACGGAAGTTATCTTAAAATGTCTGCCCTTCCTAATGGTGTTTTATAGAGTCAAGTGTTTCTCCATGTAGAGATGGACACAATAACACAGGCACATTATAATGTAATTTGTTCATTTATACATTCACAACTGCCCTGTAATAAAAAAATAAAATAAAACATTTCTGAAGCGTATTAAGTTTTGGTTGCAGCTTTAGTCGGCTCATATTTCCAGCCTGTGGTGGTTGTGATGTAATGTTGTGTGCACATGTAGCAGCGGGGCTGCTGTTTTTGCGTATGATGCTGTTTGATCTGAACCTCTAACCAAAACTGATAAAGAGAGCTGTGATGGCCAGCCAAGGGGCAGCCTGTATTTACCCTGCTTTCAGCTAAACAGATGGCAGCTTGACGTGAGCAGTTGTTCTTGAAGATCCTGGTCCACTTTGTTTGGAGCCCAAACACTAAGCTCAATCTCCGACAAACAGTTCCCAGTTAGTCCTGCAGCCGGGCTGACATTAAGTACGTCACAGTGATGTCTGGTTGGCACTTGTGGACATATTGTTTTGCTATGTTGCACTTGCTGGCACAGAAATGTAGAAATTTGGCTGGGTGTGTGCTTTAGTAACAAGAAAGTTTCATTTTAGAGTATGAGGTTGCGTGCCTCCAGCCCAAATATACTATCTATGCAAAGAGTTTGATTGTGCAACATTGCTATCCTAAAATCTGATCCCTCCTGTGTCTGCACGATATGTTCTTTCTTCCCTCGACACTCAAAGCCTGCTTTGTTGAAAACACTCAAATTAAAGCCAAGCAGACTGGATGAGTGATAAAATCTGAGCTCTTACTGAACAGTCAAGCACAGTCTATGTCCGTTACAAAGCCCTGAGTGCAACACCTGCACCTGGACTGGTAAAGGAAAAACTCTGAACAGAAGATGTCTTACATTTTAATTAAACAACTTAGCCTTTGTACGTTTTAATTTGACTGTTTAAAGCCCTGTATACAAAACAGTATAACACTGGGGACAAGTGTTCCAGGCAAATTCAACTCCACCAAGTTCACACCTAATCACATTTCTTTTCATTCACTTTGACTGAACAATACCTACAGCTCTGTTTGTTTGTTTCTGCAGGAAATGCGGTCAGATGAGCAGGGTTTTGTCTCTGGTGTCTGCAGTCACGTGGGAAGAATCCTAAAGCTGTTAGCGTGAGGTGTTAACACTCAGTATGCAAAAGAGACAGCACTCTTTAAACACAATATGCATCTGAAGTGTTCACACCACTTACAGACTACAGTGGCTTGTAAAGCAGATGTTTAAGTGACAGGGAGAGTTAAAAACAGGATAATAAAACCCAGAGGCAGCTTCTCCTATAGGAGACATAGGTGACCACCAATGGCGCCACCTGAGGGTGGGGGTGGGTGAAGGGGTGGCACCATTAAAACTACAGAGAAGTCGTTTTTTCCCCCAAAATGTTTCCTTTTATTATTAATTTTGTTTGTTAGCTAAGTTGTTCACTTGTGTTGATTTCCAATTTTGCTCTTGTTCATAGTAAATACACTAAATAGAAAGGATAACAACATTTATTTATTTATTTTGTGGGGGGTGGGTGTCACCAGGGGAAGCTTTACTGGGGGGCTGAATGTGTTTGATCCGACACTGATAAAACCCATTGCTGCACTGTGGCGGGAAGAGGGTGCAAAAATTTAATCCTGCTGCAAATTTGGCCGAAAGAAATGTTGTATTGGTATTATGTCTTTGCAAGACATCTGGCTGAATAAAATAAAACATCCTTTCAAGCCACCCAACCTTTAACCTGCATAAACACCTCTACTTGGATGTTTTCAGTCCCACCTGCTCAGAGAAGTCTCTAGACTCTCTCTAAAAGAAACTACTTTGGGACTGAATCCAGCCAGCAGGACACCCAAGTGCTCAAATCCAGATTAGTGCTAGACAGACATCAGGTAAGAGTAAATAAGCTCACGGTCATGCGCAGTCTTAACACAGTAACACACTGCCCATTAACTACTTCAACTCTAGAGTTTTGGACTCTTCCCTCACCTTTCTTTGGTTAAAAACTATGCAGATAATCTGAAAATCTCTCTGAATTTTTGACTGTGTTGTTCAAGTGGTGTATGAGAGAGCACAAACAAGGGTCTGATGTATTGATGTCCACTCTTACCTCTGTGTCTGTTGTTGTACTTGATGTCACTGAGGATCTCTTGACCTTTTCTTGTGTGATGGTGTGTATGGGTGAGTTTGCAGCAGGAGGGTGAAATGAGTGTGTGTGGTTGGGTTTGGGTGACAGAGGTGAGTTCCCTCTGGGTATGGGAGAAGCAGTAGGTGTGGGCCTGGGCGAAGGCCGCGGAGAGAGGGTGCCCATCTCGATGGCCAGGTCCTCCGTGCAGGCCAGGCCCTGGCTACGGAGGTAGTCATCCGTCTCTCTGTCCACCACCAGCAGCCTGGTGCGGTGAGCCACTGCACGGATCCGGTCCACCACCTGCAGAGAGAAGGGAGCAGAGGAACAGGGTAGGCTAAGACAAATGAAAACAGGATCTGTGTGAGGTTATTTAATGCATGTTTTCCCACCCTGGACAACACATAACATTCTTTAAGCACAACAATGACACCCAGTGATTCCCATTACACAAAGCTCACATTGACCCATTTTAGTACCCCCCCTCCTCCTCCTCAGGCAAAGGAAAAGTGGTCTAACAGGTATAGAACTCATTGTCTGTACCTCAGAGAGTTTATGTGCCTCTCCTAGCTTCTCTAACACGCAAGGACTTGTCTGTGATTTTAAAAAAGTAACTTATTGAGCCATCACTCACTTGATGGTGAGATGCGTTCTCCACATTCTCCCCGTTCACCTCAACCACCCGGTCTCCTGGTCGCAGCCCGGCCAGGTCAGAAGAGGAGCCGGGCTCCACTTTGCGGATGAACTGTCCGCCTCTATTCCGCTCACCGTGCAGGTGAAACCCATAGCCGCGCTCTCCTATGGTCAGGAAACAGAGCCTTGGCCTCAACTCGCTCTCCATCCCAACGCGTCAATAGGGTGGAAAACAAGTGTCTCAGGAGAATAAACAGGTGCTTGTCCAAAGAGCGGTGGGAAGTCTCTTGCTCTTAATCCAACGTACGGCTGCGCGCTCCAGTGACCAAAAGATCATCATCATCTATCATGATGCGAGTTCATTAATAATCCCCAATTGTTCAGAAAGCACAAGTCAGAAAACTGGGCTAAAACTAATGAGTGTTTAATCCATCATGCAATTACCAAAGGGTGCAAATGCGAGCGCGCAAAAGTGGTGCGTAAAATAATAGCCAAAACCCGCGGACAGGGGCTAAATCCCGACCATCGCGGGAATAATCCAAGAGATCAGAGATTAGAAAGCTTTTCCTCGCACGTAACACTTAATTCCCCTCGTCAGATGGGTGTGTGTCCTCCTGTCCGAACCGGCGCGAGAGTGAAGAGGCGTCAACAACAGATGCCACTAGACGTCCCCCGCAGCGCACACCTGATGACGCAGCGCAGCCGCAATGTCCTGGCACAAATGATAGCTTGGGAACAGTAATGAGGCTGTTAGGAGTTTCTCTGGACAAATTATTTGTTTAGTGATAAAATTAGCTCACAGCCGAGAGGCGTGTTAAATGTGGCCACTGACATTTGCTCCTAAAACAGTTCGTCTAGAGAGTGAGAGGTTTGTCGCAGGTGGAACCAGACTGTGACCTAAGAACAGAAATCGTCTATCAGGAGAGCCAAGTTTAAGGGTGTGTATTGTTGATATTCAGGGAAGATGAGACATCCAGAGGCAAATATTAGTGAGGACAACATAGCTGCTCACACAGCCAGTAGTGATATTCAGATCATTCAGTAAATATTACAAGTAAAAGTCCTGCATTCAAAACGTAAGAGTGTGTATTAGTATAAAATGCACTGAAGTACACACTACTGTCAGTGTTATACAAGTATATTATTGGATCATTTTTATTAATGTATTAATGTACATTTGAACGATTTATTTGAAAAGTAACTATAGGTCTTCATAGAACTGCAACTATTAATTGATTAATAAATAAAAAGAAAATGAATCCCTTACTATTTTGATAATCAAATAATTGTTTCATTGATTTTTCAAGCAAAACTGTCACACATTTGCTGGTTCCAGCTTCTTAAATGTGAGAATTTGCTGCTTTTCTTTGTCATTTATGGTATTAACCAAATAATTTTTGGGTTTTGGGCTGTTACTTGGACAATTTAAGCAATTTAAAGATGCAACTTTGGACTATTTTTCTTTAAATTTTATATACTTGACGATTAAATGAATAATCTTGAAAATAACTGGCAGATTGCTGTGATCCGTAATGGAAATAATCTCATCTCAACTCAAATTTACTTATAAAGCACATTTAAAAACAACTCATGTTGACCAAAGTGCTGCACAAAAGGAATGACTTGCTAAAAACACATACAGGAGAGGCAACATAACTGTCAGGTAGACAGCTCACACATTTAGAGACACAACACACACAGGCATGCGTCACAAGGAAAACCACATCAGGGGGACTCAAACACTAATGAATAAAAGTAGGTCTTAAATCTGGACTTAAATGAGTCAGTGGAGGGGGCCGATCTGATTGGGAGGGGGATGCTGTTCCACAGTTTGGGGGAGACACAGCAAAGGTACGATCACCCCTGAGCTCAAGTCTGGAGCTGGGACAGCCAGGAGCCCCGGGTCAGCTGACCTGAGGGACCAAGACGTAGAATAGGGGGTTAGAAGGTCTGCGATGGATAGGGCCAGACCATTAAGGGCTTTGTACACAAACAAAAGAACCTTAAAGTCAATGCTGAACTCCACAGGCAGCCATTGGAGAGAGGCAGATGTGATATGGTCTCTCCTCTGGGTACCTGTGAGGAGTCTGGCAGTGGCGTTCCGAACCAGCTGGAGGCAGGAGCGGGACAGTTGCAGTCCTAGCTCTTCAATAAATGTACTGAAATAAAAAATGTAGGCTACATGAGTAAATATGCGTAGTTACTTTCCACCACTGCTTACATTAGGATGGATTTTTGTTCTTCAAGTCACCTGTGAGAGAAAAATTCCTAGCACTGCTGATGTTCTTTTGAGCAACAAATCAGATCCATGTACAAAGGGTGAGTTATGGCTTCTGGATTGCTCCTGTCAGGATGCCCTCAAGCAAGGCATTCACTCATCTGCCCAGTGGCCACCAGTACCTGCAAGCTCAGTGTAAAACCTGTATAAATGTGAGTGCTCAGTCAGCTCTCCCTTACAGACACAGAATAACACATTTAAAATCGAAAGCACACTGTCACAGACATTTCATAGTGTCTTCAGTCTTGTGTTTTAATATCTGTCACAAGCTTTTTCCACAGAAGACCGTTTGGCTTGAGGCAAAACAAACAGGCGTAACATATAACATCAACAATGCCCCGGTAAACCAAGACAGCCAGTCAACACGCAATGACACGCCTGATGACATGCAGTCATGTTATTATTAGTAACACCTGTGGTTTTCCTAATTTAACACACCTATTTCTCTGAGGTATTGTGTGAGCTAGGTATGTTTAAGTTAGGGGTGTCTGATATACCAGTATTGACAATAACTATGGTATTGAATAATGAAGTACTGATATCATGTTAATAATACACATGATAAGATTGTGTAATTAATCCAGCGTCTCTTATATCACTCCTGTTTCTGTTCTTGCTGTGTGTCCCTCCCCTGATGGTATCTGGTTCCCCTTTCACTATGTGTTAAGTGTAAATGCTCTTCTTGTACAATTTGTACAGTCATGGTTACAGACTCTCTCCACCTCCCTACACTTGTGTTTTGAGTGTAATTCATTTGCGCAAGAGAGACAAAATGCAAAGATGAATTTGACTGACAGCATTGTGAGTTAAGTTACAATAATCGTGTAGTGAAAATCTGATAGAGCCAACCCCAGTTCAAGTTGTGACGCATTTTAAGCAGTAACTAACAGGCTGGTTGCACAAATTCACTCAAGGCTTTGTTTGAACTAATGTTATTTTTGGGTTCTTTCCCAAGTTAATTTCCTGTTCATCTTGCCTTTAAAATGTCTATATGGACTCTTTCAATCTTGTTAAGAGGTAATGGTGTTTGGCCAGTTCTAATGAAGTGAATTTAATCACCAATTTGGACTAACTTATTGCACAGTTGAAGGCAACATGTGACCTTGCAAGTCACTGCACTGAGAAATACAACCAGCTTTTATGAATAAACTGCTTTAGTACACTATATATTCCAGGTTCAGCATTTATGGGGGACTTAAATATTAAAATGCTATCAGTAAGTTTACTGTTGATGAACTGAAATTGCACCATTTTTTAAAGTTTAAGTTCTTGTTATGTGTTCTCAATATGCATCAGGCAAACTCCCTCTGCTGGAATAAAGGGAAAACTTGAAACACGACCTTCACATCCACTTTAAGTACAGACATTTTTTATTTGATATGAAAACACTAGCAGTACAAAAATATTGAATCTCATATAAAGTGTAAAAGGTGTCGTTACAGTGTCAAATAAAACTATTATGACAATATCTAGAACCATATTAACATCAAGGTGTAGCTTTGAGGTATGTTTTCAGTGTGTGTACAATAACATTTGTCCTTATCCAACATTTGGTCGCAGCTCAGACAAAAACTGCATCAATGATTAACCTTGCTTTTTAATCTCCGTCTCTGTGCGGTGGGGGAAACAGGTGTCGACAGTGGCTCTGTCTTTGTCCTCTCGTGTTTAACAGCAGATTGTTGTTCAGGTTCAGTTTTTGTTGTGAGGGAGGAGGTTGGAGACCGAGGGGATCCGGCTTTAGGCCTCTTAGTAGGAGAAATCTTGTGGACGGATGGACAGCTGTGCTGGTTCAGACACACAGAGCAGAGAGGGTTGACGGGGAGACAAACCTGCTGTCCGAAACCAACGAGCAGCCAGTTGATCTCACTCCACAGCTCCCTGTAACAGAGTGTGAGAGAGGAAGCTTGATTTAAACCTGAGTTCTGTCAGTCAACACAACATGTTGAAGAGCTCCTGTCAGTCAACGGAGTCAATGATGTGCTGTGTGCACCCAGGTCAGTCTGGATGACTCTGATCTTTATAGACCTGTTGGTCCGTGTTAATCAGGTTGTGCGGGTCAGCAGTGAGTAAGTTATGCTGTTACCTGGGTAACCACTCCTCCAGAGCCTTGCGTGTTTCCTCTGGGCTCTTGGTGGGTTTCTTGAGCCAGCCCAGTCGATTAGAGATGCGATGAACATGTGTGTCCACGCCTAAACAAAAAAACTGACATTATATAGAAGCACATACACACATATCATCCACTTTTTGTAATGTCTGGTGATCTGTAGTGTTTGTATTACAGTTTTCTTGTTTGGTTAAATATTGTTTGGTCTTTGTGTATTGCTTTGTATTTATGTGAAACAGTTGATGATCTGTGACGCAAGAAAAATTTCTGATTTTGTTTCTGACAATACAGTGAAATCAAAGTCAAATCACTATGTCACATACACCTAGTCTACTCATAGCAGATATAAAGTATTTTTTCAGTTTCTATTCTATGCTGCAACTTTATCAGCCTCTGGTTCCCCTGAAGAAATGTGTTAAAAAACATACACAGTTTAGTCCAATGGAATACATGGAGTAGTCTTGCATAGCCAGACTTTGTGCTGGAGAAAGGTCTGGGTAAACCCATCATAATTTTGCACTAAAGAAAATAAAGCTTTGGGTTGTTTATATTTGTTTAAACCAATCACAATCATCTTGGGCTGCACTAAGCCCAGATGCAGCAACAGTGCCCCGTGCCAGCAGCAAACTTGTTTTATTTGAGAAAAAGAGGCCACATAAAAACACAGTAAAAGATGTTAAGATGAGTGTGGGTTGCTAGCTTCGAGGTTGTTTTGTTGTTTCAGGCAAAATGCTAACATGAAGTGTGGAGATAGGTCCGGCTATGCAAGACTAGTTCCATGTAGCAGCGATGATTTTGAAAACAGTGACATGCAGATAGCAGATGGGGAGGACAATTCTGTCTGAGTGCAGTGACATGTTCTGACAGCCTCATTGTTCTGCTCTGTTAGACGCTTTTTATTTTATTCCATTTGATGTATAAATGATCGTGCATGCTTCCTGACTGTGTCCCCACCAATGCCAGACACCTGGTCCCAAGCGATGCCCATAGCCAAGTGAGCCATCTTGGGTCCAACTCCTGGCAGGCGGACCAGCCCCTCCACGCTGTCTGGGATGTCTCCTCCGAACTCTTTCTGCAGCATGGCCGATGTCAGCTTCAGATACTTCACCTTAGTCTGGAGAAGGTTGGGTGGGAAATCCATTCAATAAGGAGAAAGAGTGAACAAAAAAGGAGGGTGAGAAGAGGGAAGCATGGCTCCTGTAATGCATAAACAGACTTCAGCTTTACCCTCCA